CAGGCGGCGGGAACCGGCGCCGTCCGTGTCCCTGAGGAGAGAATGGTTCGCCGCCAGTCCGTGCGCAGACCGGTGATGTGCAGGGCTGCCCTGAGGGCACCGGTGCTCTCGGACACCAGTGGGAGCAGCCACCATCACCTTGAGGTGGCGTTTCTGCCCAGGCTCAGCCTGGTCCGCTTTATTAGCGGTTTGTTGTTGCTTTTTTTTTTTTTTTTAAAAAAAAAAAAGCCAAACTACGAGTTGTTCTAGTAAGTTCACCACGGAAAAGGATAGATCAGTGTTTTCAACGTTTGGAGGAAAAACCTATTTTCTGAGAGAGAATCGTGTGATGTGTATTCCAAATATCGTCAAAAGGACGTTGGTGCACTGTCGCGAACGGCCGGGCAGCTGGTGTCTCCGGAGACATTTCCACTGGGTGTCTGCTCAGTCCTATGCTCCACTTGTGCACTTCTCTAAATAGCTTAGGTTGGAGAAAAGGTAATAGTTTTTGCCAAAGTAAAGGTTGTAAGTTGTCTTCCACTTAAGGAAAAGTGTCTTTATCATTTAAGGAAAAACTTTTGTAAGAAAGTAAAAGGAATAAGCGCATCATTACAGAAGAACAGTGATGGTACTAACACGGAAACTAACTGTTAAGCTTTGGCTTGTGACAGAATCACTTCTTAATGGACGTGGGGTTCATGGTTTCAGAGAAAGTTCAAAGTCAAATCTACTGTCCACGTTAGAGTAAAATGTCTTACTAGCACTGTTTCTCAAATCAGATACTGAGAGTTTTTACCATCTCTCGCTAATCAACTTTTAAGCAATAGAGTCTTCTTTCAAAATGCGGACATTTAGTTCACCAATGTCTTCCGTTTCCTAAGCAACAGGAGGCTAAATTCAAACTCCATAAAGTCCATTTGGGTTTTGCTTAATGAACGTGAGACATGTTAAGTAGCAGAGAACTCTTCAAACAGCCTAGTGCCAAGTAGCATCTTAACTCTGAAATACAGCAGAAGTCAGCTTCATGTTAGGCATCCAAACGGAGATCTCTGCAGATGTCCAGAGGTGCTCTCATCTTGATGAGCTTAGCTACATACTGAGCTCTGCTGCGTTTTAGACACAGAGAGGAAGAGGTTTAAACTCCACCGAGCCACAGAGCTACGTTCAGCACCTGGGTAAAACCGTGAAGCTCCTGGGCAACAGAGTGCCAGGAACACAGCCGTCAACTCTTTTCTGCACAGTAACCTACTGACTGTTGTACTTGCCGGAGAAGTAACAAACTGAGAATTAGCATTCCCCACCTCCCAGGAGAGGTGGATACTGGATTCAGAGTAAGATCACCTTCCATTCTCCCTGGTGCCACTGTGCTACAAATGTTGAAACAGTAGAGTTAGCAGCTTAACAGCAGCTTAACTTTGCATCTTGGTCATTTACCATGAACACTGGTAGCCTCATTACCAATACCATTTTATTGAGTAATCAAAAATAAAGAGAAAAGTGACTTGCAGATCATAAACTCAGCAATGGAAGTTCAGAAACTTCTGGTTGTATTTCAAGTGACTGAAGAGGTTATAGGAACTTTTGTGAGTGCCTGAGTGCCACCCGCTAGCACAAAAAAGAAGCAAACATAGTCTTTGTTCATTTCCTCGTAAACTCCTGGCAGGAAGAACCAGAGTAAGAGAAGTCTGCAAACCTTTATTGATTTCTTACAGTCCCAACCATCATTTATCTTAGTCTCAAAAGGGAGATCTGTTTCACATGTTAGCAAAAATAATTATCCAAATGTCCACTACTGCCTCAGAAAAGGCTTGTCAAAATACGGTGTCTTCAAAGGTGGCCTATCCAGTAGTAGTTCCTCTGCTTCTTCCTTGAACTTTTCTGATAAAATGTAATAAAATTTCTCAAGATCCAACTTGTTTATGGGGACAATGCTTAAAGATTTAAACAGTAAGAAAAAAAATCCAGTGCAGATGAACCACTGCATGAAATCAAGTGTTGGAGAGCAAGAGTGCCTGCCCATATCAGTGGCAATGGTGTTCCTCAATTCAGCACCCCTATGAAGCATTGTTTAGCATGTCCTTTGCTGAGGTCCAGCTCACTGTAGAATATTTTACTGTAATAGTTATCTCTCAAATACTGACTTACCTTGACATCAGGCTTATAAATGTCATCTCCTAAGTGCAAGGATCAAAGCCAATGGACAAAGCAAAAGCTTATTAGTGCTGCTTCTGCCAGTTCTCTGACTATATTAATTTCTCTTCAGCTTCAGAAAAATCATTATTTCTTATATATCACATGCGCAGCTTTAGATATAGGCCAAACCCTATATAAAATTATAGAGCAATTTAGGCTGGAGGTCATCTTGCCCAGCCTCCTGCTTAGAGCAGGGCTATTTTCAAAGTCAAATCATGTTGCTCATAGCATTGCCCTATCAAGTCGAAAATCTCCAGGGATTCCATAGCTTCTTTGGGCTTCTGTGTTTAGCCACTCTCACTGTGAATTTTTTCTCCTTCTATCCTATCAAAGTTTCTCTTTCTGCAGCTTATGGCTATTCCCTCTTGTCCTTTTCCTTTCATCTCCCCAAAAAAGTCTAGTTCCACCTTCTTAATGACCCCCCACTCAGTGAAGCATAGGGATTATATCCTCTCTCAATGTTCTCTTCTTCAAGATAAAGAAAATTAATTCCTTCAGCCTCTTATGTCATATGTTCCAGCCCCTGGAATCATCTTGGTTAGCTTCTTCTGATTGCGCTTCAGCTTCTGAGTCTCTCTTGCATACTTGGGAGCCCAAACTAGACACAGTATTCCAGATGTGGCTTCACAAATGACAAGTAGAGGAGAATAATAATTTCCCTTCACCTGCTGGCTATATGCTTGTTAATGTAGCGTGGTATGTGGTTAGCTATCATTATCTCAAAGGTGCAGTGCTGACCCTTGTTCAACTTTTTAATTGGGACCCACGGGCCCCTTTTTGCAGAGCTGCTACTTCATTAGCCAGTCCCCAGCCTAGACCATTGCATGGGGTTTTTTCATCCTGGGTGCAAGACTTTGTCCTGTCAACCCATTCTTCTCTTGTTCAAGGTTCAAGGCAACCCTGGCCTCCTGCACATCAGCCAGGCACTCCCCCAGTTTCATGCCGTGCATGTGCTAACGGTGGATTCCAACTCATCATCCAGATCACTGAGTATGTTAAACAGCATAAGCCCCAATATTGCTCCTTGAGGAGCACCACCCATAACTAGCTGCCAATAAGATTTCAAACTACTGACTGCAACCCTTTTGACCCAGACAGTCCAGAGATGCTGTATACCATACATACCAGCCTTGTAGTCTTCCCACCCAGTTACATTTGGATTTGGCTAGAGGGATGCCATGAGAGCCCGCGTGGAAATCCTAGCTAAGATCAAGGTAAATGACACCCTCTGCTTTTCCCTCATCCAGAGAGCCACTCATTTCATCATAAAAGACAGTGAGATCGGTTAGGCAAAATTTGGCCTTCTGCCTTCCCCCTCTCCAGTTTTAGTAGTTCCAAATAAATTCAGGTTAAGTACTCTACTGTTTAGTTTGTTGCAGGGGCAGAGGGGGAGTTTCTTATTTTTGGAGGATGGCCAGATGGCAGCTGAAATCTTATTCTATCTTAAATTAATTTTCATAACTTTTGTGGAAGACAGAGAAAACAGGTAGTGTTGCATGCACGTGTGAATCTTAGTAACTTAGTTGACCTTGTAACTTGTTTGTGGGTGGAAGTCCCTCATCTGTATATCGGTGTGTTTAACTCATTTTACTTAGTTTATTAGTGATACGGGCAAGCAAATGCACCAGAACTTTGACCAGTTGGATAGCCAGTCATGTGCAAAGTGTCTCTGGTACAGATAAAAGTTGCCAGCACAGATCAGGTAGTTCCAGCTGACCTAGCAGAAGATGCCTTCAGGAGGATAATTGCAGAGGGGAGTCCTTTCAGCCAGTGACTGGCTGTTGTGTATGAGAACTTCGCATCAAGGTGTCAAAGATCCCAGTAAAACTCACTCTA